CATCCATAGGAACGGGCTCGGTTTACTATATTCTATCACGTATGAGAGTAAATCAAAAGTTTTGCTACGAGGGTTCAAGTTCTCATATGTTTGGGTTTATCCCAAACAAAATGTGTTTAAACATACCGCTGCAATCAGTGCAAGGCTGCAAGGACGTTCCCTCAACAAGAGTCTCGCTAGGGTGCCTTCAACGAAAAGGTCCAATCAAAACACGGCTTCCAAGGAATCTGCTGGGCCAGTTAAATTCAAGGCTGAGAGGTCAGTCCAGAGATTTATGGTGACTGTGTTTAGGGATTCCAAAAGGATAATCTTGATAAATTTTCTCAAGGACACAGAAGCATCATAGGGACTTATTGGAAAGACGTTTGAAGAAAATTGAAAACTGTATTGGTTAGAAACAGGCCAGAAAAATTGCCCTAAGGAATTGTTTCTATCACAGCAGTGCCCCCGCTCATTTTCGATGGTATCAAAGGTTGTATGAGAATCTCATTGGAAATCCTTAGCCCATGCACCTAACTGCCCTACCTTGCCTCTTCAGTCTTCCTTTTGATCCCAACACTGAAAACATATCTAAATGATGCATGGTTTGAGCCTCTCCAGGATACCAAATTGCCATTTTGATGTGGTGTAATGGAAGAGTTCAGAATTCTTCAGAGAAATGTCAGAGCCATGGGAACAGTGCCTTCAGAAGGATAGACACCTACAAGGAGATGTCAAGAAACAGTGCTTTCCCAGTTTGAGATTTTTGTTTAATAAATATTCCTATGACTCTGTAGCAATTCTGTTCAACTTACCCATTTATCAGACCACCACAAAAGAAACACAATGTAACATTATGTATAATACTACTTAACATTAATGCCATATATGCTGTACAGGCACATGGAGCCATGGGGGGCAGGATTTATATCAATTACTTGTATCCACCCTGACCTGTTAACTACTCCAATGAAAGACCATGAGTTTAGACACGTTTACATTCTGCAGGTCATTTAGTGGCAGTGGAAAAAGCCTTCCTAACAGATGAAAGGTATTGTCTTTGTAGCATGCATGGAAGTGTTAATGAATATTTGGGTAAGAAGTACAGATAAGAATAATTTTGTTACACTTTTTGTGTCAGCTACATTTCCTTAAGAGCATTCCCAATGAAATTGAGGGGCCTAGAATTTGGCAGCATTGGTTCACTCACAACAAATCTGAAGACGTAATACTAATGCAGAGTTTTCCAAATTTCTCTGCACATTAGAATCATTTGGAGAACATTTAAAAAGTGCATTTCTCAGATCACACTACTAAATCTATTCAGTTGAAAGGTCTGGGGCTGAAAGTCGGGCATTAGTGGTAGTGGTGGTGGTGGGGGCATGGCATGGGTTCAGTTTCAACTCATAGCAACCCTGAAGGCTGTAAATCTTTATGGTGGCAGAAAGCCTCATCTTCATTTCCAGCAAGAAAGGTTGTATCAAGTGCACATCGCAGGTTGCTAATAAGTCTCCCTCCAGTCCTGATACCATGTTCTTCTTCTTCATATAATCCAGTTTCTCAGGTTATTTACTCATCATAAAGCCAAACACTAATATAATCCCGACGAATAAATGTCAGGGCAACTTCATAATGTTGTTGCTGTTATTGTTGTTGTTATGTGCCGAGGAGTCGGTTCCGACTCATAGCAACCCTGTGCAGGGTTTCCGAGGCTGTAAATCTTTACAGGAGCAGAACGCCTCATCTTTCTCCCGCGGAACCGCTGGTAGTTTCGAACTGCTGACCTTACGGTTCGCAGCCCGATTCATAACCACTATGCTACCAGAGCTCCTTAACTTCATAATAAATGGTACAAATTATTGGATTTTATCAGATTTGGAAAATCAACCAGCTAAAATGCAAGGGATGCCCATGGCACTGGGAGCTCATTAGCCAGCTCAAGTAAGGGAAGTACTTTCAGCCTCACTTAATCAACTCAAGAATGAGGATAGCAATTCAAAATAGTGCTCAAGAATTAGTAACTTCAATGACTATGAAAGCACCATTCAATAGGTGCTCAACTAATTGTTGTTGAAATACAATACTGTAAAGAAATTAGAAATTTATAAAATAGGAGCTGTGTCAGTGGAGAATACCACGTTTATCCAGTGCAGGTATTATTAAAGATGTTAAGGCCATGGTTTCCATGGATTCTCACAGGAACAAGCAGATTACAAGCTGGGCTGTTAACCACAAGGTCAGAAGTTCTAATCTACCAGTCACTCTGAGGGAGAAAGATGAGGCTTTCTGCCACCGTAAAGATTTACAGCCACACCAGGACTCCAAACAGTGACTGCTCTCAAAGAAAGGCACCCAGGAAGCACAAGCCACTAAGCTGAGGAGAAGTTGCAAACTGATGCCTGCACTCTCCTGACTATCACCATGTCAGTGATGGTGGTGGCTCCTCTCCCTGCCTCAGAAATATACACAAAAAACTAAGGCTGTAGCACTCACTCAATACTAAACACTAAACTCCATAAAAAATTGTTATGATACTTAACATAGCCTCATGATTTTTACATAGCGGAGTCTTGCTCCTTAAAATGCAGTGTTTATCTTATATTTTCCTTAATTCTCTAAGTGTTTAATCAACTGCTTAATGTTAAGGCAACAGTTCTTAAGCTTCACAAAGGATGAAGCTTCACATAGGCCTATCCCTGTAATTCAGACTTACTACCTCTAAGGACTGTGGGAAAAAGATGAGGCTTTCTGCTCCTATAAAGAATTACAGCCTCAGAAACCCTATACAGGGTTGCTATGAGTCAGAATTGACTCCACAGCATGACCACCTCTTAGGATTGTACTATCCACCAAAGGAAATAATCCATGTAAAGCAAATAGTATGTTACAGAAATGGCATAAATATTATTCTTACTATACAATTCTCTGAACTATATTAATGGAGTCCTGGTGTAGCACTGTGGGTTAATGCACTGGATTGCAGCGTTGGTTTGAACTTCCAGGTTGGTGGTTCAAACTTACCAGTCACTCATAAGAAACCCTATACAGGGTCACTATGGGTCAGAACCTACTCAATGACAACAACAACAATCTATATTAATATTTCTTTTGAATTTTTGTTTGCTTTTTATAGAAAGGTTTTAGCTCATTATTCCCTTTCATTTACTCAGGGGAGCAAAAAGAGGAACAGAAAAACAGAAGAATAAGTGAAATTAAACTGAACAGGCCAATATAGAATTAATATATTTGTTTACATTTGTTTTCAGTGTATGCCAATTTTAAAGAAATTATCATAATCATGTAGCATGACAGTGGTAACACAAAAGACGTTTTGTAAAAAAACAATTACGAATGCAGGAGTGCATGTTCAGTAGTCTTGAAATCAACATTATGTAACGTTAGGTGTATATGGAGTCCTGGTGGAGCACTGTGGGTTAATGCACTGGACTGCAAAGTCATTTGAACTGCAAGGTCAGTGGTTCAAGCTCACCAGCCACTCCTTGGAATCCCTACTCAGGGTTGCTGTAGGTAGGAACCAACTCAACAGCACTTAACAACGCCAACAAAGGTTAGGTGTGGAGTACATGTCTGCTGTTTGGTAAAGAATGAATCTCGGGGTAAAAGCAGCAATGAAGCAGCAACTAAGCCTTACAATGCTCAGTGGACTTCTGTGGACCCAGTTGGGGACCCAGTTGGCAAGCAGAGTGAAGAGACCTGGGAACTCTTGGGCCCAGAGTCAGTGACATGGCCACGGAGGACTGGAGAGGAGAGTGGAGCTACCGGCTAATGGGAAGAGAGGATATATGCACAGAAGTGCCCACACTTGCAAATGATACCCACGTGACCTGGACC